TGTGTTTGCACACACATAGGCAGAGGTCTATGGTTTATACTAATTTTATATCCACTAAAGTGGTTGCCCTTTAGAGATTTAAAAAAATAATTTGCCATGCTGGTAAAACATTTTCTGAATTTGTTCCTTAGTGTCATGCCTTATTAGGGTTGAGATAAATCATGTCCCTTGCTTGCCTCCCACTGATGTTCCTGAAAAAAAATTAGATTATTCTGGCCAACGTGAAACCATAATGGAGTAGCAGGCTAGGCCCTGCCTACTATTGAAAAATTGAGTTTTGGGTGACATGCTCTAGAATTATGTGGGGGGTGGCATATGGATATTCAGCTGAGCCTTAAAAGATATTCCAGCAGTTCTGCCACAATTCAGCCAGTTCCTTGAAGAGCCTGGAAACCGGAACAAGTCTGGTTGTTTCCATAACCCACTACTTTCCATCTCCCCTTCTGACATGTTATCCTGCTTTCTGTATTCAGGTCATGCTTGGCCTTCTGCCTAAGTCTGAAGGTTAAAACCATTGCAAATTTCTGTCTTCTCAACATGGTCCTATTTAAAAAAGAGATAGCGTTGGCCTGCCCCTTCATTTGTCTCTCAGTGTGGTTAAAGAATATTTTCCCTTTTCCTCCTTCAAATCTTCTGATTTAAAACCTACACAGAGGCATTATTTTATAAGACCGGTGGCTGGCCTTTTGGTCTGAGCTCAGCACAGCCTCTTGCCTGCCCACCTCTGCAGTAAACGCTCTGTTCCTAGAAGCCCAGCTGCAGGTCCCCGGACCAGCTAGTACCACTCACTCAACACCAGGGCGCAACCCAAATAAATAAAACCAACAGCTCAAATTGTGTAAATAATATCCAGTTCCCTTAACCAGAAAGATACATGGCACTTCTTAATGCTCTTTAGAAAGTTCAACTATACGGGTTCATTTCCTAAAAAGAAGCTCTCTTTAAACTTTCAAGATTGCAGAGACTAGGATGCACACACTTTTACAGTTGCTAAAAGTAATGAAATCTAAAGAATAAGATCATTACAAAACTACGGAAAAGGGGATCATCGTGGCTTCTACCTGGTTTATTAGATGAGGACTTGGGCCTAAATAAGCAAGAGCTTCACAATGATACGTTAGGTTTATTCATCTTATTTCCATCCTTGCTTTACTGGTTCCTTTAAGTCTTAGTGAGCCACAAAGATTGCTTGGGAAATTTCCCCAAACAGAAATTTCACGTGGTTCCATCTGTAGTCATAGTACTAGTTGGGGATAAATAAGATGCAGGCACATCCTTACTGCCCACAAGATGGCAGGTATATTAACAGAGTAACAGAGTCTTTGTGCAATTTACTGACTCTTTAAAATGCACCAAATCCTCAGTGTAGCATGTTTACAACAGTGAAACACTGAGAAAAACTCAAAGATCCCTAACCTGAAAAAAGAATCTGAGAAAATCCATAGAATAGAATACCATGCAGCTAAATTTAAAAAAATGAGAAAACTCTCTAAGGGCTAATAATAGAAAGAAATCCAGGATACAATGTGAAGTAATAAAAGCAGAGCAGAAGCAGAATGTGTGCTCTGCCTCCTTTTGCGTAAGATAAAGGAGGAGGGATAATAATCTATATAGTTTTATTGGCCATTCATTAATGTATCTGCATGAAGACACTGCTGAAAGAAAGAAAGAAAGAAAGAAAGAAAGAAAGAAAGAAAGAAAGAAAGAAAGAAAGAAAGAAAGAAAGAAAAGAAACAACAGGCCCAAAATGGAGTCACTTGTGCTAAGTCCCTCATTAGCAAACCAAAACTTAATATCAAACCTCACTGCAGTTTCAGCCTCTCCCAGGAGTGGAATTCTCAACCAATCTGGAATTTCCTGATCAACATTAGTGAGGTAATCTGCATGACAGAGGCCCCATTTCCTCCAAAGGAAAGTGACTTTGCCTGAAACAACCCTTTCTTTATTTTCCTTTAAAAAATTTTTTTTTAATTGTTTAAATTTTAAAAATTGAAATCAGTTACGATGTGCCAATTTCTGGTGTAGAGCACAATGTCCCAGCCATGCATATACATACATCTATTTGTTGTTTTTGACTTACTAGTCCCACCCACTTTCTGCCTTTAAAAGTCTCCCATTTTGTACAGCTCCCCAGAGCACCTTTCTGCTTGCTAGGTAGGATGCTGCCTGATTCATGAATCACTGAATAAAGCCAATTAGATCTTCAAATGTACTCAGTTGAATTTTTTTTTTTAAACAAGACACAGAAGGTTATACAAAAAGCTGATAAAAAGAATGAGAGGAAAGGGGTAGATGGGAACAGAGGTGGGGAACGAAAATAGAAAACAATTTAACTGAAGAAACTTCCTATTCAAAGGCCTTTTCAGGTTGACTCCTTTGGAAAAGTGTCTTCAGCCATTCCCAATCTGGTTGACAGGATTATCTCCACCAACAGAGGCAGCGCTATTTACAAAATGCTGTGTGTGCTTCTGGGAGAGGGACCTTGGAAAGGCAATAGAGCAGGGCTGGTATTCAAAGGGGAGCGTCACAGGTCACCCCGCCCTGCTGCTGTTCACCCACTCCGCTCTGGCCTTATTTCTGACTCTAAGCTTCTCTGGCTCCATTTGGAAGCAGCAGATGTGGCAACAGAGAGTTCTTTTGGAAGTTTCCATCATGTGGTCCTTTGAAGCACAGGTCAGATAATGCCTCTGATACCAAGAACAGACCAGAGACAGATCAGAGGCAGCTGCTTCAGGAATGGATAGGGCTTGATCTCTGGTCCAAAAGTGATGGGAAAAGAGGTCAGGGACGCAGAGCTTTGTCCAACTGGTGGATGCAAAGCACCAGCGGAGCTTAGTTCAGTTGAATTCAGGTGGGATCCCAAATCCCCAGAAGAGCAGAATTTCTTTTAATTCGTTATTAGATATGGAAAGTGAACTAAGAAACGCATTTGACCTAAACCAAAAATGTCCAGTGGTTTTACTCTGCTGCTTTCTTCAACTTTCTTTGGGTGGGGGGAGAAAAGTTAGTATGTATATTTAAACTACTAAAATTCAAGCTACATCCTTGAAGGAGACCTAACAAGAAGGTAGGTGAATGTAGGTACTAGTCTAAAATGCTCCTTCAGTGAACTGAGAAATCCCGTTTGTACTATTTGAGTAATCTGGACTCAGTAACTCTTTGAAGAAAACCTTTCATGTTTCCATACGACTATGATAACTTATCATACCTACTTTTATCTTCTTCCTGCAGCTATGATTTCAGAGAGTCTCGGACATCCTGGGTTGGTAGGGACCTTAAAGTCTGCGAGGTACACTAATAAGCAACAAATCTTAACTTTTTTTTTTTGATCCAGAAAACTACCAAGGTTTTCCAAGCCTGCTGAAACAAGGGTCCAATATTTGCCAAGAGTCTACGATGTAACAGGCATTTTACCCATGATCTTATCTAATGTGCACAAGAGTCCTGGAGGTGAGCAGGAATTTCACAAACGAGTAAGTGGGCTAGGTTTCGTGGCAGTCAGTGGCACAGTCACACTGGCACCTCGTCTTTCTGACTCAAAGTCAGGGCTCTCCTTCCACCATCTCACATGGCGTCCTGAGGGTCGGAAGAAGCAAGCAGTAACAGAACACGGCAGTTCAAAAGGCTAACCAAGGAGAAATAAATGCATTGAGAAGGTATTAAGTGTACTTGGTTGCCTGGGGCTTGCCCTTGCTTAGCTCACAACCCATGCGTGGGTCTATAGGTTTGCACCACTCAGCTCAAGCAAACAACCCATCATTAGGAGCCACTTGCCCTGAGCCTCGGAGGCCAAGAGTCACAGAAGCCTAGGCCCTAATCCCTGCTGTCAGCACCTGCTGGGACTCATCACCTCACAAGATAAACTGCTGGGCTGAGCAGAAAGTAGGCAAATCATGGGAGGGGCTGGGCAGAGAGGCCTCGCTCAGTAACAGGGATTCCAGGTCTCAGACAGGCTGGGGAGAGCCGCCCCAGCAGGGCTGGTCTTGAGGGAAGCTGTGGGGAATCTGTGACAGCTGGGCCATGGAAGGGGACTGAGAGCTTTTTTGTGAGGATCAAATGAGAAAAAATATATATAGAGAGGGAGAGAGAGAGAGAGAACTCCACACTCTTTCTCTATATATATTCTCTCATTTGATCTTCACAAACATATATACATGGAGACACACTACCAGCAACAAAGAGTTACGTGGTATCATCATTAAAGAATCTGAAGGCTGGAAGGGAAAGGATCCAGAGTTGCTCAAGCTTTGACTCCTTTTTTCAATCCTAAGGTCTAAAGATGCTTTTGTTTGTAGCAGCACAGAAGTAGCCCTTATAAATTAGTCAGGGCCCTGGGTTGTAAATGACAGAAACCCAGCTCAGCTAGCTTGGGCCAAATAAAAGGACCACAGACCCATGGTAAGGGCAGGGACACACGAATAACTGCCACTTCTCACTCATATTTCTGCTTCTCTTACATTCTCTGAGACCAGGGTCCCTGGTCATGGGAAACAGTCCAGTCACTCTCATGCACATATGTCTCAGCCTCCTCTAATCTTCATGCTGAGGTGAGAAGCCCTATGAAAAAGATGGCAGGACCTGCAGGCAGGGCCACTACTCTCCTGCCAGCACCAGTCAGTTCCCTGGCCCAGTGGCACTGTCTCGCTTTTTAACTCTGAAACAGCTTACTTCTAGGAAAGCGAAACTTACACCTAAGATTCTGTTGGTTCCCTGAGCTAACTCTTGATTGGTCCATTTGTAGTGCCTCATTTGCATGGAGCTCGCTCCTGATTGGCCATTTCTATCACTTCTGATTAGTCCACTTCTACAAAGCTCATTCCTAATTAGTCACCTTTGTTACACCTTATTTGCATCTGATGCTGCAAAGTATAGGCTGGAAGCCTATAAAAGCCTGTGTAAACCTACAGACGGGGTCCAGAGTTTGGAGTGTTAACTCCCTTGGGGCTGCCGGCGTAATAAACCTGAGTTCTCCAACTCTCCGAGTGCTGCTTGGTCTCTTGCCCAGATCCAGGTTGCTGTCACAACTGAGCTGTAACACCGAGCTGTAACACACTTTGCTGCAACAATGTCAACCGGGAAATCCCAGGGCAGGACTTGTGCCCAAAGTTAAGCAGTAAGATTTTGATACAGAGGTGCCCCTGAGGCAGAGGGTATGAAACGTTAAGTGGTCTGCAGCCCGTAAGGAGACAGTATGATGCACCGCCATGGCTTGGGAGGCTCCTGGGGTCTGAGGACGGGTTGACTAGCACTGATCCTCCGCCCAGATCCCGAGTCCGATCTCACAGATCTCAAGGAGGAATCTAGGGGAACAGCAGAGACTATCTCCTCCAGGTACCTCTGTAAATGACTGAACGGTGGGACATGCTCCTGGTGGTGGCAGCATCAGAAAGGTAAGTTTCTGGATCCGGGCCTATTTCCTTTCATACGCTGGAGGAAGTATTACAGAATGAGAAGATGAGCATTTATTTGGTCTTGAGAACAAGCACCCTCTCTCTCACTCATCCCTGCCTTTAGAAATACAGAGTAGATTGCCTTCAACAGCTTGGGGCCTTAGCCACAGAAGCTAAGGAAGAGGGGTTCCCTGAATAAGGAGCCATCATCTGTAGCCTCAAATAACTTGAAACTAGCCAAGCATGGAGGCTGAATCCAATGGGCTTCTCTTATCTGTCCTTTCAGTCTCCTCACCCCAGCTTCCGGACACCAGTTTGTATGGCCTCAGAAGGCAGGGGAGAGACTCAAAGTTTAAAAAGACAAAATTCAAACAGATTCAACAGAGGTGACCCTGAACCCCACGGGGAAGGTCAGAATCATTTCTGAAGAAGTCTGTCTCCCCAGACAGCACTTAAGTTGAGGAAGTAACCCCTCCCCTCACCCAGGGGATCTGGTTACCAAAACAGCAAAGCGGCCAGGGTGGCGAAGGCTGGCAGGCTTTCTGGGTCCCATTTCCTGCAGTGGCCTGGGGACTAGGGCCTGAGCCCCTACCAGGCAGTGTGCCCTGCTGTGTTCTCGGGTCCATAATCTCCTGATTGCTTGCAGCTCTGCAAGGAGATATCAAAGCCAGAAAGAAATGGTTTGAAGCCAAGCAGAGGGGGTGAAAGAGCAGAGAAGGCTGATTAGGGGTGGAGGGAGTCTGGAGGGGGTGGAGGGGGGAAGCCTAGGGGCGAGGAGGGTTAGGCTAAGGGAGAAGAGAAATCAGAATTAAATGAAAACAGCATTTGTAGCTGGGCCCCTCTCAGTAAAGTCCTGCCCTGCATGTATTAACCTTCCATGGATGAAAACAAAATCCAGGGACCTGGTGCCTGCCTGCTGGGGCACATAAAGCTGAGGGGATATAATATCTTCCAGGTGGGTGTGCCCAGAAGCACACAAAGGTGCTTGACAGGTCGTTTAAAGCCGACTGTCAAGGTCAAAACAACACCACCTGCAGGTACAACTGAAATGTCTTCATCCATCCCCCCACCCACCCCCGGGTTCTCTGTTGTTGTTTGTTTTAAACCAAAGCACAGTTTGAGCAGCAGACAAGCCTGACAACTGTTCAAACATATGTACGTGCAACTTATTAGCTTGCAAATGGAGATATCTGGAGGCTAAAAACAAGGGGTGGGGGGAACAAGTTAGCTGCTAACTCTGAGGGGACGAGGGGAGGGGGTCTGAGCAGTAAATTGCCGGGCTGAAGGCAAAAAGCCTTGTTCGATGATGGAGCACGCTCCTCATGCAGTATTTGGAAATGCTGTTTTGCATTGATGGTGCACAGAGCAGAGGCGGTGATTATGAAACGAAGAGGCCCCTGCCCTTGAGATCTGTTTATTTTGCAATTAACTAGGAGTAAGAGAGGTCCCTTCTGAGCCTTCTGCTTGCGGGCTTAAAATTTAAACGCCTACTGCTGCCCAGGTGCCTGAGTACAAGAAAATCACAGGCTTATGATCTAACTAGTTCTTAGATCAAAAAGAAAATATACGTGGATGTAAATTACTGAATGAAATGGGATCACCCCTACTCCTGTTCAAAATAAAACTCAAACCTAATCAAATCAAAGAATGTTCGGGCTCTAAGACACTCTGCAGGCAATTCAAAATCAGCCCCTTACATTTCCAGAGAAGAAAAGTAGGCCAGGGAGTAAAGTCCTGCCCTGCATGCATCAACCTTCCACGGATGAAAACACAATCCAGCGACCTGGTGACTTGCCCAGGATTCCGGCCTGTCACTAGGCCCAGCCCCGGGGACACATCATCCTTACAAGTAACAGAGAAGCAGCGAGCATCACCGAGGATGCTTCCCTACCTTCCTCCTCCCTCAGCCTGACATTCCCACCCGAGAGAAGATGGCAGGGTGCAGAGTCTGTGAAAGCTTCCTGCTCACCTGTCCAGAGACACCTGCCCACATGATCCCCACAAAATAACACCTGCAGCAGAATCGCCCGGGCGGACGTGTTCACATTCCAGGTGCCAAGACAGCACCTCAAACTCACTGAATCAGAGTCTCTGTGGTGGGGCCCAGACTGAAAAAACTATCTTTTTTCCCATTCTTTTTAATTTCTATTTTTGCATGTACTTTATAGCATACCTAATATATTAACACTCTACTAAATGAATACAACTTATAACTAAATATAAATATATGGAAGGGGTGACTGTTCAAAACTCGATGTATAGGGAGGGGATAGCTCAGTGGTGAGCGTGTGCTTAGCATGCACAAGGTGCTGGGTTCAATCCCCAGGACCTCCATTAAAATAAATACGTAAATAAATAAACCTAATTACCTCCCTCAAAACAAAAAAGCAAACAATAAAATTTTTTTAAATCAATGGATGATAATCGGAAATGTGTCAGGCCTCCTGCACTACATGGTGAGCCCATCTTCCTCACTGACGTTCAGCAAGGCCCTTGCCTGCTGCCTGACACGTGGAGAGTCCTCCACCACCACTGACAGAATCAAAGTCGGATTCCGCAGCCAGCTGTGCAAGGGACTGAAGATATTTCTTCTCCAAGAATCATTTCCCAACGTGTATTTTGAGGAGGTGGTTTTCCTGAGACCACAAGGACCACATGAAATGCACACTGTGAAGGGGGACCCCTGGGCACAACATTTAGGGGAATACTGTATACCCTGGCCCTGTGTTCAAGAGGCAAGGGGTATTAAATCAGGATAATAAGGATATTCAAGGCTTTCTTAAAAGCCCTCCAGTAAAGACTCCCTTTTAACTTTGTGTAATCCGTTCATTTCCTAAACTAATTAACCCACAGTTCCTTTTCCCACATCATTCACATTCCACAAAACTAGTCTTCCTTGGAACCTATGTAGAAAATCCTGATTTCAGCTAAAGGTCTCACATTTCCTTGTAGCCAGAGAACCATCAGTATTTATCACACCTGTCCATTGATACGTGTCTGCTGAATGAATTCTTGGCTTTGCCTTTCCATCACTTTCCAACTACCAGCTTTCAATAGGATGTTCAAAAATTGCACATGTAGGATAAGAACCAGAAAGTGCAGCTGACTTATTCTCCAAGGTTCTCAGGGTCTCCTTAGAGGAGATCAACTCAAAAACTAGGATCTGCCAGCCACAGTCCCCATATCTCAGCAAGCTGGCCTCTAAGGACCAAAAAGGTGGG